GTCCGGAACGTCTCCTGTTATCATACATGATCCATTTTCATCACAGGTGACAAATCCGTTCAAAAACGGGTCAATTCTTTTGCGCAAAAGCAGTGAAGAAGGAACCTCGAGACGTGCCGATTCCTGCCGGTCACTCCGATTGTGGGCCCAATTGTCGAGTTTTTTCACCTTCCCAATGCGTTCCAGACCATCTGCAACAGTGGATTTGCCAAGGCCTAGCTCTTCTGCTATCTCTCGAACTGTTTGGGATGGGTCAACCTTCAAAATCCCCCTAAAATCCTCGCGAAATTGCTTTAGGTCAAGACCGCTATGAGGTTCATCTTCAAGGCTGAAATCTCCAGAACGAAATTTGTTGAGCCATTGCCGCACAGTGCTTTCTCTAGCACTATCCACACCTGGTTAATTTGTTGAGCTGTTTCGATTGCGGATTGCCCCAATTTATAGCCGAAGAAAAAAAATCGTCCGAAGTGCTCTTTTACATGCTTGAAAAAATCTTGAAAAGAGGTTATAAGCATGAAACGGCAATTATACCATCAGATAGCGCAAGAAATTCTCTACAGGATGTGCTACTGAGAAGCAAGGCAGAATGAGTTTTTAATCAGCAGTGAATGTACAAAGATTAGGTGCACAAAACGCTAAGAACTTTCCGGACAACCTAATAAATGTTGTCCATTCCTGATGCTCTTTACCTCTTGGCGGGATAGCCTGTGTGGGAGCTGGAACTATAAGCGTAGTACTGAATGAAGGGACGTACAACATCTAAGCTAAACTTCCATGGAAGAGACCCGATTGATCTTCTAGTATAGATAATTTTGAAGCGCATTTTATCCAGCATCGGAGGCGGTTCCTCATTCCCGATTTGACCGATAGAGGAGCCAGAACGGTGAAGATGAAGTAAAAGGCGTTGGGAGTCGTGCGCGCTCGTACATTTTTCAGGTAATGTCAAATCATACCAACAATGGAGAATAATACCAACCAGCATTAGTATTGATCTACAAACATTTCTCTTTCTCATAGCACTTGATATATGACTTTCTGTTGGGGCATTCGCTTGCTACACTTCTTCAAAGTGAAAGAGTGAAATTTTCCTAAAACTTTCCGGACAACCTAATATTTATTTATTTATTACACTTGAGATGCTCTAATAGGTCATAATAGTTTGAAGAAAAACAGATTGCCCTTCATTTTGAAACCACATGGTTTAGGAGGGATCACCCTGTTTTTGCATTACATTTTTATTGAGTTTTCCCTGTAAAGTGACACAATGACTTTTTGGAAGGTTTTAGCGAAGGAAATCTTGGAAAACGCCACGAATGAACAGCCAGGAAATGCACAGCAGTCCAAACCACAGCCAACGCCACAATCTCATCAAGCAGATGCTGCTGGAAAACAAGGTAGGTAGGATTCATGGGGGGGGGGGCGGGGTGGGGGAAGGGGAGGGTCATTAGACCGCGCCTCTACATCCGTTACTCAAGAGCTTAGGCTTAGAGCGCAGACGAGCAGATTCGCAGAAGGATGGTTCCGCTGCACAGACATAGTCTTCACTAAAGCTAAATCTTGGTCAGGAGA